TTTTTTTTTTTTTTTTTTTTTAATTACAAAAGGAACCCATGTTTCAAGAATTCAAATAATCAGAGGTATATCAAGTAAAAATGAAGATCTCCCTCCTTCCTCTACTGTCATTTTCCTTCTAAGAGGGAACCTTCTTAACAGTGTGGTGTGACTTCTTCTGAATGCTTGTCCCTGGATGTGTTAGCTGATATGCTTTGTTTGCAAACAACAGAAACCTACCGAATTGGTTTACGCAAAAAAGAAAAAGTTACTCTTAGGGTATAGAGACCTGGTGGGCCACCAGGAAAGGCTTGAACGTTATGCTGAAGAAGGTGGGGACCAAAGTGGCTCTAGGAACTGCAGCAGCAGGTATTCCTGGAGCAGTGTTCAGCTCCCAGCTCTGCTGTCAGCTCTCTGCTCTCTGTTCAGAATTCTGTGTTCCCAGCAGAGAGTCTGATTGGCTCAGCTCTGGTTAGGCATCCATTGACACTCGCCAGTGGTGGAAGTAATGATGTGTGGTCACTTCACACGTATAACCTGCCCGTGCTGGCAATTCTAAAGCATGGGTCTTTTTATTTTTGTATTTAAAAAAATTTTTTTTAATGTTTATTTATTTTTGAGAGAGAGACAGTGCAAGCTAGGGAGGGGCAGAGAGAGAGAGAGAGAGAGAGAGACAGACAGACAGACAGACAGACACAGAATCTGAAACAGGCTTCAGGCTCTGAGCTGTCAGCATGAATTCACAAACCCTGAGATCATGACCTGAGTCAAAGTCAGACGCTTAACAGACTGAGCCACACAGGTGCCCTTCCCCTTCTTTTAAGTTTATTTATTTTGAGAGAGAGAGAGGGAGAGAGAGAATGCCAAGCAGGCTTTTCACTGTCAGCATGGAGCCCAAGGAGGGGCTTGAACTCATGAACTGTGAGATCATGACATGATGTCATCATGACATGTCAGTCAGCCCAAGCATGGAGTCTTATTTATAAATCTTTTTTTCATATTGGAATATGTTTGGTTTTCCAAAGTAAGGATTGTACAGGACAGAAATAAAAATTAACTTGCCAAATTTACAAAGTCATCCCAAGATTCTTGTCCATTCTTTTGAATATTGTCTTAAATTAATATTTTTGTAGGGGCACCTGGGTTGCTCGTCAGTTAAGCACCAGACTTTGGCTCAGGTCATGATCTCACAGTTCGTGGGTTCGAGCCCCACGTCGGGCTCTGTGCTGACAGCTCAGAGCCTGGAGCCTGCTTTAGATTCTGTGTTTCCCTCTCTCTGCCCCTCCCCACTCACATTCTGTCTCTCTCTTGCTCTCAAAAATAAATAAAACATTAAAAAAATTTTTAAGCACCTGGGTGGCTCAGTTAAGCCTCTGACTTCAGCTCAGGTCACAATCTCGTGGCTTGTGAGTTCGAGCCCTGCGTTGGGCTCTGTGCTGGCGTTGGGCTCTGTGCTGACAGCTCAGAACCTGGAGCCTGCTTCAGATTCTGACTCCCTCTCTCTCTCAAAAATAAAACAAACATTTAAGGGGCGCCTGGGTGGCTCAGTTGGTTGAGCGTCCAACTTCGGCTCAGGTCATGATCTCACGGTCCGTGAGTTCGAGCCCCGCGTTGGGCTCTGTGCTGACAGCTCAGAGCCTGGAGCCTGCTTTGGATTCTGTGTCTCCCTCTCTCTCTGACCCTCCCCCGTTCATGCTCTGTCTCTCTGTGTCTCAAAAATAAATAAAAAAACATTAAAAAAATTTTTTTTAATTAGTATTTTTGTAAGTTTCAGTACAGACCCATTTATGGATTGTTTAAACTAAAGACATGAAATTTGAGCATTTAAGACAACACAAGGCAAGTAGTAGGCATTAATGAGGGGGTGTTAACAAAGGCAACATTGGCATAGTCTTGTGTTCAAGCAGTTCTTAATGTAGAAGGGGAAAGGAAGATGTGCACACGGCTAACTAGAATTCAGGTCAGAACTGCAATTGCTGCAATAGAAACATGGACAAAATAGTCTGAGGGCATAGAGAGGCTTGCAAGTGGCTGGTTTCTGAAAAGCTGTAACATCTGCATTGGAGAACTTTTGCTTTCTTTCAAGTGTTTGACAAGCACTACATCAACCGCAACTTTGACCGAACTGGGCAGATGTCTGTGGTGATCACACCTGGGGTGGGTGTGTTTGAAGTGGACCGTCTACTCATGATCTTGACCAAGCAGCGAATGATAGATAATGGTAATGCTCCCTGGTTTGCACTGTCTCCGAGTGTTTATAGCTTCACTTACCTTAGAGCTCTGAGCTTTCCCTGGCTCTGTGCATCGGAGATCCTGGGGATGTGAATAATGTTAGGGGACAAAAAGCGTTCTATGGTCAAATTGGTTAAGGAAATGTTAGGTCATATACAGTTTAGGCAGATTCCCTAATTGTAGGTTTTAATTTGTTAATGTATCTTGTTTATCTCTAATGCGTGTAACAGGTACTCAGAGTTTTCCAAACATATCTGACACTGGAGAGCTCTTCGGAGGGATCGTTTCAAGGGACCAGTGTGTCATCAGCCCATCTTGGGAACTACCATCAGATTGTCTGATCTAGTCCTCCCTCTGTGGTGTGCCATGCTTTCCCAATTTGTAATTCTGGTTCCATTAAATTTGGGCTTCCAAAAGATGGGGGTGGAGTGTAAATCCTGGATTGTCAATTAAGAAGCTCTGTTAAATGGTATGGATTGTTTTGCTGTCTTACTGAAATTTCAAGATTCCTTTTCCTTTCTGGTCATGAAACTTTAGTAATAGAGGCCTGGGTTGTCCTTTTGACAAATCATGATCTACAAAGCAGTCCAAGGCTAATTGTCAAGCACTGAATAATGGCAGGTGTGATGGGACCTGGTAAAGAAGAAACAGACAAAATGCATCTCTTTTCTTCTTTGCTGTGTAGGCAGCCCTGTGAGGTTATAAATCTTAGGATGGGAAGTCGGTTTTGTTTAGTTAAATAATATTGTTAATAGATTGGGACACTTATGTCTACTTCCTCCCACCCCCACCCCAAACTCTTTTTGTATTCTCTTTTTAAGGAATTGGTGTGGACTTGGTGTGCATGGGGGAGCAACCATTACATGCTGTCCCATTGTTCAAGGTAATACAATTTTGGATTGCTTACTAAAGGCCAGTCTCTAGTACTAGAGTGATCTTGAGAATACTTAAAAACAGAACAGTTGGAGCAGCTCCACATCCTACTTGTTTTCTAGCTGATCTGTGCACTGGCTTTTTCCCTTCCAGCTACATAATCGAAGTGCACCTCGTGATTCTCGGCTGGGCGATGACTATAATATTCCTCACTGGATAAACCACAGGTGGGTGTAACCTTGATTCACAGTTGAATAACTTCCTTGCCATTTTCTCTTCACATCTGTTAAGTTCTTACTATGAAACCTTTTGTCAAGAAAATGTGGAAACTAAAGTTCTAACATTTGCTTAGAGCCTCTGTACATGCAAAGCAGTGGCAGTAACATAAGAACAGTCTAGAGTGAAAGAAAATAAAAGCAAATTTTGAAGGACTTATTTTTATTATCCCCAGCTCCTACTATTTGCAACTCCCACAGACGATAGCAGACCAGCATTGTACCTGGCATTCTCTGTTTGTAGAAAAATCCCTGTGTCTCTTCTTCACATGGGACAAGGCCTCAGTGTTTCTGCTGATTGGGGCTCAAGGATGGTGTCTCTCATGCCTCTGTCAGAGCCACTGCCTTATCCCAGTCCTCATTTTTTTTTTTAAAGTTTATTTATTTTGAGAGAGACAGAGACAGCCTGAGTAGGGGAAGGGCAGAAAGAGGGGGAAAGAGAGAGAATCCCAAGCAAGCTCCATGTTGCCAGTGCAGAGCCTGACATGGGACTCAAATCCACGAAACTGTGAGATCATGACCTGACCTGAAACCAAGAGTCAGAGGCTTAACCAACTGAGCCACCCAGGTGCCCCCAGTCCTCATCTTTTTTGGATGATAATCTTAATAGTGTGTCTATTTCTGATCTCTCTCCTTCAGTCCTTCCTTTAGAACAGGGTTTCTCCACCTGGACTCTACTGACATTTTGGGCCAGATCATTCTTTTGTTGGGGCTGCCCAGTGAATTGTAGCCTGTTGAGCATCCTTGGCCTCCACCCTCTAGATGCCAAGAGCACCCACCCCCAGTGTGACAACCAGAATGTCTGCAGGAAGCATGCCTAAGTGAATTTTCCTATCAGAAAACCTGGAGAGGGGCGCCTGGGTGGCTCCATCGGTGAAGCATCCGACTCTTGGGAGCTCTTTCAGCTCAGGTCATAATCTCACAGTTCATGAATTCGAGCCCCACGTCAGAATCAGTGCTGGCAGTATGGAGCCTGCTTGGAATTTTCTCTCTCCCTCTCTCTCTGCCCCTTCCCCTCAACTCTCAAAATAAATAAATAAACTTAAAAAAAAAACAAAAACAAAAACAAAACCAAAAACCTAGAGAAAGTTAAATTATTTCTTTGAAATACTGCAGGTAGAGCTCATACCTCCTAGAAACTTACTATGAGAACTAGAATATCTTCAAGTCTGCCAAAAATGAAAAGCCTTGAACTATTTTTTAATGTTTCATTTTTTTAAGTGCTTGCAGGTTTATGGAGAATTCAGTTGAAAATGTTGGAAACTGAGGAGAGAAATAAGACTAAAAACAAAAAAGTCAAAAAACTAAAATGTCTGCTGCATTGCCCCATGCCTCCTGGGTGGCAGATTCCCTCTGCCCCCATTGACAGTCACTTCTTTAGACCAGTGGTTTTCTTCTTTCCTTTCTAATTTTTTTCGTTAAGCAACAGGGCCCTTTTTTTTTTAAGTAAAGATCTTACTTGCAACCAAATATACAATAGTGAAAAGTTCTTTTTTTTTTTTTTT